TCTCTGTTCTCTTAACCTCACCCTCTCCTCCTACACTGCAGTTAGGAGGGAAAGGAAGCACATGAGAAAGCTCTTGTAATTCAAAACCTCAATGAGAGAAATGTTAACTTTTGAGCTAATATTTTTACTACTTTTCTATATGGACAACTTTTTCCACACATTTAGAATTATATTTTAAGTAGGTGGAATATTTTATCCCTGATTTTATTCAAGTTAACATATAGTTCTCTCCCAAATCATAAATAAACCTATGAGTGAGCTACGTGTCACGAAGTCAGTGTAACCTACAATGTTGCACCTTACTCTTCTCCTCCACCTGGGTGCTCATTGTATTTCCAAGTTTCTACCAGGGCAATGGTCTTGTCATAAACAACGTAATCTGCACAGACTTCCCTTCCTGTTGCTTCTTGTAGAATAGAAAGACTAAAATTACTCATTCAAAATATATGATGTCTTTGTTCTCAAGTTATATTGCCTCTAATGGCTCTCCTAAATATGCTGACTAGTGTACAGCAGCAAATAGAAGGCATTTTGAAATACACATGTGCCACAATAGTATTCAACCTATTTCATTAATTTTCTATAATCTCATCTTCCTCTCTCCTCATCCACACTTAGTAAAAAGAGAAAGGACCCTTTCCTAAACAATATCGTCTTTTGGTTTTTTATTGCTCTCAGAGGAGTTTTACAGTTATCCAGCACTGCCATTTCAGACTTATCTCTATGGCTAACCGGGTATGAAGAATGCATAAAGGAGGGAAATAAAGATGATTGGGTCCTTGCTTTAGAAAAGTCACTAGATTTAAATAATTTCTCTACATTCACATCCCATCAGTCCAGTCCAACTCTGAGGTTGCCTGGGTTTCTTTCCTCCTATCTGTTTTACCCTTCATACTGCTGATACTCTTCCATAAACAATGAGCACATCTTATAACTGATGCTTAAAGTTTTAGTGTTTCCCTTTTTGTTATTCAGCTCCTTTAATTGGCTTTCAGCCTCTAACTACTATTCATCAGCAATTATATCATTTTCTACTAACCCTTCACTCTGCCTTCTCGCCTTTCTAAGTAGGCTGTAAGAAAATACATTTGACCCATCTTGTATAGAGGTAGAATTTCCCATTTATCTGAAGATTCAGAAGGTACTACAGGCCTTCTAGGGCCCAACTCTACAACGTCAGTTTGTAAAAGTAGGCATGAATATAGATTTCAATTGCTGGCATTTAGAGCTGAGAACTTACTCGGAGTTACTGGCTTCAAGTAAGATAGCAGAAGCATAGAACTTGACCTTGAGATTGCTTGAGCATCAGGACTCTGGACATTTATACTACTTAGCCTGTTCAACTATTGTAGCATCTTATCCTTAAAAGTTCTGGCTTTTGTGGACAGGACTTACATCCATCTTCCACTCCAATTGTGTTGTATGAAGTTGTCTTTGTTGGTAATTGTTCTATTTTGAGGGGAATGTTTAACTCAGAACTTGGCAAAAATGGAGTTTTATTCTGTTGACTGTAGAGTACATAGGTCAAGTGGAATTTCTGGCACTTCATTACATTCCTCGAGCCTCACTAAACAAACTTCAAAATATATATATTTGAAACAATTTGGAATAAACAAGACACACAAGTGTTGATGGTAGGTTTTCTGAAGAGCTACCAAATGCATCAAGACTAAGGAAAACATTCTAATGATTCTTTCAAACATGAATATATTTAAATTCTAGTTAAACAATCCTCTTATTTAGTCTTCTCAAGCTTTGATGACATGCCACAATTGGCTGTTTATCAAAAACTTAGCAAAAAATGCTTAACAAGATATAATCATGTGCATACACTGTGCATAATTAGACCCAGTTTATAAACTGGTACAAGGTGAATTATGGTGACACCACCCAAGAAAGGTTCGTGGCTGGTAAGTAACACTTTTCTCCTCATCATTAATGATAAATCTTAAAATGAGAATGTTATGAGGTGATACAGAAAAATAATCTGATCCGAAACCTCAGTTTTAAAAATGTATTCTCATGGTTGGCCTGGTGGTACACGCCTATAAAGCCAGCATTCGGGAGGTTGAGGCAGGAGGATCATTGTGAGTTTCAGACCAGCTTGGGCTACAAAGTGAGCTCAAGGCCAGCCTGAACTGCATAGCTACATACTGTCTGAAAAAGACAAAAATAATTATTCTCATCTCTATAATGTTAAATGAAAATTCTCACGAGGTTAGGAAATTCATTTAGGTATAAGAAACATCAGTAAAAATTAATTACTACTAGGGACTGTGTGGTATGGACATGGAAAATTCGTGTTTTTTAATTGATTAAGTTTATTGGTACAATTTAGATAGACATAATAATGATCACAGTCATCACTGGGATTTGTACCTGTACATGATACATCTTGATTCTTCTTTTTTTTTTTCCCCATTCGCCTACCTTCTCTCCAACCCCCTTCTCTCCCTATTGACAAAAGCTTTGTTTCTATTTTTCCTTCTTTTCTCATTCTTTTTTCTTTTCCTTCCTTCCTTTCCCCTGTCCCCTCCCTAGTTTCCATTCCCATTTGAAATAAGGACCAAAATGGATAATAGATATTGTAAAATAGGAAGAAAATGTTTAAATGAAGATTCGTCTTTTGCAGGTTTTTAACCTGACAGATTTAACTGTTTAATTGGTTCTGGGTTTAACTGGCTCTAGGTTTCTTCATTTTATAGCTGTTCTTTCACTTGAAAAAACAGGGAACAAGTGATGCAGAGTAATGGATATTTCTTGAGAACTCTAAGAGGAGGTATTACATAACATTAAAGACTACATTTTTCCATTTGTTTTATCGCTTTGCCCAGTTAAAGTTACTGAGATAAGAGCGCCAGTATTTACTTGTAATTTGAAACCTCTTTCACGGTGTGTAAGAATCCTGAGGGAGAGGCATTAACATTTAAGGAATGCTTACCTTGTGCCATACATTTTATATGCATTATCTCATTTAGTGCTCATAGCCACAAGATATGTGTGATACTCTTTAATCCAATTTTGCTTGCCTGAGACCACAGTATGAGTTAAGTACAGAGCAGGGTTTGACTCTATGTCTCTCCCTTCCTAGTTCTTGTTTTTTTTTCCAGTACCAGGAATCGAACTCACAACCTTGCGCTTGCCAGGCAGGTGCCGTGCCGCTGAGCTAAATCCCCAGCCCTGCCCTTCCTAGTTCTTTAAAACTCAAGATCCTGTCATTGAATTACATGGGGTTGCTCACTGTAACCAGTGTGTGGCGGTCACAAGGAGGGCCATTCCAACAATAAGAGATGTTCTCAGTTTTGAGACAACGCTCTTTTCTAAAGGTAAAGTAAGAGAATAACTAAAATGGTGCATTGGAGTAAAACATATTCTCAATTGCAGTGACTAGTTTACAAGGTTATAGAGTATCTATACCATGAAGTATTAATAGGATCATTAAAATGAGCAAAGTAAGGCCTATTTAGTGAAATGGAAGATAAAGTAGATGAACAAAAGCATTCGCAGTAGGAGGTTACTTAGCACAAAAATCACCATGCGTACATACTTTTGCATGTATTCAGAAGCAGGTCCGGGAGGGTACATTAAAACAAGTTAGTCCTTTGGCTCAGTGGACTAAGAATGACTAGTAAATAAATTTCATATTTTAATGTATATGTATCGCAGTTGCTTATTTCTTGTGTAATTACATGTATTACATTCACAATTAAAAATCAAGTAATGGATTAGTAGAATAATATAGAGATACGACACAGCCTGAGGAAGAATGACTAGGGTGATTGAAGACATTTATCATCAAAATGCAAAACTGCTGTCCCAGTTCACTCTTCGAGAATGGTGCTTCACTACTACGATGCATATATGGTGAAAGCTAAAACCTCCTCACCTGTATTGCATTGTTCCCCTCTGAAGAAGCTGCTAACGGAAGGCAAGTGAACAACAGTCTTTGCAGATTTCACACGTCCAAAATAGAGATCTTAAACCTCCTCTGCCCGCTCTTTCCCCAGCTGCACCCTTCTCTTTGTGTGTTATTATCGTTTCTCCACTTGCTCAAGCAGAAACTTGAGTGGCACAGTCTCTTTGTCCTTTCCTTTCCTCACCATGTACTAAACAGCAGCAAATCCAATAGGATGTACCTCTGAGACCTCTTCACTCACTTCTGGGGGCTCCACCCAAGCCACTGCTTGCTACGGCCTGGACGGGTGTAGTCTCCTGTCAATGGATCTCCCCACTATCACATTTCCAACGTGCTCTCCATTCAGCAGTGAGAGCAATCTTTTCCACGCCCTCATTCTAGCGCTTGTCAGTAGTTCCTCCTTGTGCTTACAGAATGGAGAAAGTAATGTGACAAGAGGAAAAGTCATGTGATGTGTGAAGGTGATGAAATCTAGGTTTCTCACTGGCCCAAGAGAACCCTGTGTGATCTGATGGTGGCTCATTGTCTAGAACCTCAGCTCCTACTCCTCCCTATTCATTAGTTAAGAGCCTTCCTGGCCTCCTTCTACTTTTCAAATACGTCCTCTTTGAGCCTTTGGGTTTTATATTTGCCCCTCTCTACCGGGAATGCTCCCCTCTTAGTTGGTTTCCTGGCTAGCACTTTGTCAGCCTGAGCCCACACTGCAGAGAAGAAAACTGTGTTACAGGGAGTTTAGGGAACCTTGGTATAAGTGGTGGAACTGGGCTTTGACCTTATAACTGCATCATTTCATACTCTTTCCGTGATATTAGATAACAAACTCAAGACGAACCATCTCAGATAAGGTTTTGATAGTCAGGAAAAATGTGCTTGCTGAAAAGGCAGGGAAAAACAGTCTTTGAGACGTTCTTATAGTAAGGTAGACTACTACATTTTCTAGCTTCTGGTGGAAGAAGATTTATAGCTATAGAGGAAGTTATGAGATGGTTATATTTGGAAACTCCAGTCATAGAGATTTAAAATGAAAGGTTGCTCATTTGGAAATGCTTGAAATTTGACAGACCCAGAAGCCCTCATAACTTACTTAGTGAGATGTCCAAAGAGAACTTTCATGGTGTCACGATTTGGTGGAGGAAGTTTTTGTACGAGACACTTTATAGTTTCGATCCTTTCATTGTTGTCTTGCTTTTCTGAAAATAAATGAAAAAGAAGGTTAGAAAAGAATAAGATTTCCTAGGCACATGGGAGAATATTCTTAGTAAAATTTTGGACTAAGACTTAGCAACTAAAAGTACTAATAAACAGTCAAACAGAAAATATATTCTCCACCTAGTTAGTATCAACTTTCCATATTTTAACTCTAAATTAGACCAGGGTGACATGAAAGCATCAGTAATTGACTCTGACATCATCTTGTTAAGATCAGGCATTGAAGTGCTTTTAAAAATATTCTCTTTCAGCAAGAGTGATAGAGTGAATAATTCTTCCAAGGGTGCCATGTCCTAATCCCTGGAAACTGTGACTATGTTACTTCATGTGGCAAAGGAGTCTTTGCAGATGTGATCAATTTAGGAACTGAAGTTGGGAGATTTTTCTGGACCATCCTTGTGGGTCTGGTGTAATCACAAACGTCCTTATCTGGACTATGAGGGTCACAGAGAGATACGACAACGGAGGTAGAGGAGAAGGACCTGAGTTTCTTGAAACAGCTAGTGTCAGGGTTGGGGATTTAGCTCAGCGGCACAGCGCCTGCCTGGTAAGTGCAAGGTCATGAGTTCAATTCCCGGTACCGGGAAAAAAAAACAGAAACAAAAACAAACAAACAAAAAAAGAAACGGCTAGTGTCTGAAAGCTAGAAAAGCTACAGACAAAGAGCTTCCAAGAAACTCAGGACTGCTAATATCTTGAGCTTTTCCCAGTAAAACTGATTTCAGACTTCTCTACAGGAACTGTAAGATAAAAAGCTCATATGTTTTTCAAAATATCTTTTATTTTATAAAAAATAAAACACAATTAAACCAGAGTTTGGGTTATTGCTAAAGCAGCAGTAAAAACTAATACAAAGGATATACAGTGTAGTTTGGTATATAGTGTGACTTGATTCCAAATATTCTATAGTTTTCTTGACTTTGTAGAAAAGCACAACATTTAAAAAAATTACTCCTATGCTATCTTTTTCCCCAAACACATTTGTTTTTGTTGTAAAATAAGGGAATGCAAAACTCAAAAGTCTAAGTAGCATAATATCCAGATATACATTTTTTAAATTTAGAAGTTGTTAAAAACTTCTTTCATTTCTCATTGATCTGAGAATTTCTCTCAAAACTCCTTATTTGCTTCTCTTATATTTTCCTTCACCTGGATGGCAAAATAAGAATTGAATTACTTAGTACCCTAGGAAATTGGTCTAACCATAGTTTTAACCAGAATTTTAACATCTACAGGTATAATTACTTATTATAATTGAATGCTTTATGCACACTGACTTAGATACTGTTCCTCTCCGTATTTTATGTTTAACTTGGAGCACAAAGATCCTCAAGAGTGTAAAGAGAAGAACGCTGGGAAAGGTGACAAGCAGGAAAATCATATGGAAGAGAGATGCTCACCTCTTCCTATCCTCGTCTTCCTTGGGCAGACAATCCCGTCACGTAGAGGGGATGGCAATATGCAGCCTCCTCTGCAGCTGGAGTGGCCATAGGACCATATCTGACTAATCTCTGACTCATCTATTAGAGTTTTAGGTAGGACTTCTGGTTAGGCTAAGTACAGAGCTAATTTAGCTCCCTAGTCCTTTTATCTTTTCTCCTTTTTGGTTCTTAGAACTTGGATGGTTGTATTATGAGATGACCTTGACAACCGAGGCTACAGAAAGTGGAGCAAACTATTAGAAGGATCATCTCTGATTTGGGGAGCAAAGAGATCTCAGTTTTGTGACAAGAAAATGACCCCTTTTGTACCAAAGCCTTTGAAGATGAGTCTCTGATACTAAGGCCCAACACAGTTCCTAAAAAGATGTGCTGCTAACAGCCTAAGTCATAATCTGTTAATAGGTATACGCACTTTATACAGTGGGGAAGAAAGAGTTAGTTTAGAAACAAGGAGTTTCTTTAATATGGTGTTTGCAAAAGAAATCTTGTAGGGAATTATAGGAAAATATCCTGCTGAAGATGGTATTTGGCTAAAGTGGGGTGAGGGCAGTCTTCCTAGTAGAACTCTGCTTGGAAGATTTTCTTTTTCCTCTTAAAACCACAGAGGTCTATAAATAATGCCTCCCACAGTCAAAGCTTTCAAAATTGCAGTTATTCTTAGAAGAGTTCCAACATAATACTGCTTGGACAACTGCAAATGAACGAAACAAAGGGAAAAGAAAAGGAGCAGAAAAAGTTGCAACATCAGAGGCTACACCAGATGTAATCTTTTTTGCCAAATAGCAATAAGCTTGTTCATTGCTTAAGGATGATAAGAAAATGTGATGTCTCATAGGACTAGTTGGGGACTAGGGACTATCAGAAATTCAGAAAAAATTATTCTTAAAAAGCCAGGAGAAGTGAGAGTCAAGTTGGTATAGCACCTCCAGGATGGAGGCATTAGACATGTTGGAAGCCTTACAACCTCACCTTCTGAAGGTAATGCCACGCACCGATGACGGGACTAATACATACATTGTACGTGTGTGTGATGTCATATGATGCAATGCTAGTAGTGTTTTTTATTTGAAAACCTGGGGAACCGCTTGCTTTTAGCAATGAGGATGACACTGGAAAGTGGCAGGGACAAGGGGTGAGGGCAAAAGGAGACCTTCTTAATTCGCTGGAATTTCTGACTATAGTAGGAGTCAGGTCAATGTTAAAACTCCCCAGAAACAGACTGGGTGACATCGAGGTCTCTGAAGGAGCAGGCCTAAATTGAGCTTGACAGACAGTGAGTGAGACTTATTTTCATGTCCACATGCAAACCCTAGTTTGAGGGAACAAATGATCTGGTCAGAGTGGACTGAAGAAAAGTTGAGCAATGCTTAGTAGCGTACTTGAATTTCAAGGTCATTTCTATGGTGCTGAGCAGCAACTAAAATATTACCAAGTCTGTTAAACCACAGGTAAGAAAATTGTGAGCTTTCCTAGATAACTAATTCTCCTGCTATTTTCCATCACATTTAGAGCATTCCAGTTGCACAGTATTTCATGTAATATTTCCATTGCTTCAACACTTGCAATTCTCTAAGGTTGAGTAGGGAATTATCCTGTAAAGCCGGGCAGCTTCTATATTGCGAGGTAGTAGAGTCAAGGGGTGAAAAAAAGAACTAGTGAATGAATAGAAGACAAGAGCATGGGTTAAAGTAGAAGGACCTTAGTCTGAATTCTAGCAACTTTTATAAACCATGTGTTCTTGGGCTTATTTCTTATTCTCTTTGAATAACATATAAGGTACTAATTTTATGTAATAAACACAATAGTATGCACTGTACCTAGAACAATGACTAATAAAACTAATTACTCTATAAATTCCTCCTCCTACCTTTTTTGAGGTTCATGCTGGGTCAAGTTCACCTTTTTTTTCTAGCACTTATGTTATCTGGTTGCAGGGAATATTAAACTGCAGTTGCTAATTTTTGGACTGAGTTGTTGTCAGTTGGTGAAAACACAATTACTATGGTAGTTTGGCGTTACACAATACACTAAATACTTCATGAGGGCCTGAGAAATCAGTGAGCTGACTGGGGAGGAGTTACATTTAAGAATCTTTATAAAATATATGGTGGTTCCTTAGTCTGCTTATGAGAAACACTCTACATGCAGAATATTTTATAGACATGTTTTTCTTTCTCTTTCTGCTTGCACACGTATTTGAGGAATCAGACAAACAATGAGCAACACATGCACGTTGGTGGCTAAGTCATGCTGAAGTTCTAGAGGGGAAAATTATACATGGAGGAACTACTTATTTATTTATTTTTTTTACAACATAATCAGGACAAAATCTTTTGAGAAGGTTATAAGAGAGCTGTGTTTCTCCACTCAAATCTTCCATAGCTTGTAAAATCAGGAAACAACACAAACACCTCTAAGAGGGGGAACATCTAAAAATACAGTTGGATACATTAAAATCAAAATGACACCTTTTCAGATCTGGTTTATTGATGTGTCATGTTAGGAACTGGAAGCAGCATAAATAATACAGGAGTAGTTAATGAGCTAAGATTCATACACAGCTTACTAAAGATGTGTCAACTGCCTGCGATTGACTCAGTGAACATCTGAAAGACAGCATTTTCTATTAATATTTCTCTCCCAGCATATGGTTTCTCATTATTGTGAAGTATTGAAAGTCTGAGAAGACGTTGCGATATCTCTGACTTTTTTACTCTATGACTGGAGTGGGTAAAGGAACTTTTTTCTTTTTTCTATGTGGAGAATTAAAGAACCTCTTAGGTAAATCATATACTAAGAGATTTACACAAAATCTTTCCAGAAATAATAAACTCTATAATTTTCCTCTTTTATTTAAATTTATTCACGGCCTCATTCTCCATGATTTATTTTTGTACCTACTCTAGGCTTTTTAATGCCTCCATTTTACTTCTCATCTACACCCAGATAGTTTCTTCAGTCTCTCAGCTGTTAATCCACAAGCAGTACTAAGTTCTCCTGTGCTGGTTCCTTTTCACCACCCAGCACCGCTGAGAAACTGTTTCTGGCCCATTTCTCATCCACCTGTCCCCTCTCAAACTATATCAAATGAATTGTGGAACAGTTTCTTCAAAGACAATTCCCTGTCACTTAGAGAAGTAACATCTCCTATGTGACGTGAAATGGTTTTCAATGTTATGATAAGAATGTCGTTTCTTAGCTTTCCCCTTATTCATGCTTTGAGGGCACATTTTTCAGAATACAGTTCATGATAGTTACATTTGCATTTGTGTGAAGTGGTGCTACTAACATGGGGCATTTAGAGCTGAATGCCTTTTAGAGAAGGGACATGAGAAGTTATGCGATGCTGGGAAGAGCTCTGCTCAGTGCAGAACCTTGGGCCTTCTGACCTCTGGACACTTTTCTGGCCTTGTCATCTATGCCTTTATTTTTCTTAACTTATTTATAGCCGTATATTAAATCATACTTCAAAATAGATTGTACTGTGTTACGTAGGTTCACCAGATGAAAACAAGACTAGGGTCTCCCAGTAACCAATG